CGGCCCCGGGCGGCCCCGTGGAAACCCAGGCCCTGGTCCCTCGTGTCTCGCCAGGCTTCGTGAGCTTCGACAACCCGGCCAGCGCGCAGACCGCCATCCAGGCCATGAACGGCTTTCAGATAGGCATGAAGAGGCTCAAGGTGCAGCTGAAGCGGCCCAAAGACGCCAATCGCCCGTACTGAGCGCCGGCGGGAGCGTCCCCCGGGGGAGACCAGGACTCGCACAGGTAATCAGGGGCGGCGGGGTGTAGGGACGGGAGGTTTGGATGGACCCGTCGCCTACTCGGGCCTTCCTGCGCCCCGCCCTCACCTGTGCCTTGGACCCGATGCGCCCTGATCAACCTGCTCCTGGCTCAAGGCCTACATTATAGGCATAGGACTAAGGTCATCCTGGCAGAACCAGGCTCGGCCATCCCCTCTGCTTCCCGACCACGAAGTGTTGAAGCTAGGAACCTCTGTGAAGTGAGCAGAGCCTTGGGCCTGCGCCTTCAGGCTTCCATTGTGGTCCTGTTAGACAGGGACCCTGGTTGGGCAGATGGCAAGCTCAGGTCCTGCAGTGAGAGAAACCCTCAGGTTGAACCTTCTCCCAGACTCCCTGGCTTTTGTACGCCCAGGTTTGCTGGCAGCTTGCTCCTTGACTACTGTACCCTGTAGCTGCCCTAGCTCAGCCAGGACAGGAGGGTCAGGGATTTTTCAAAGGAACTTTAGAAAGAAACACAGCAGGAGGACACTGACCAGAGATGAAGTTCACATGAGACCTCTTCTAGCTCTGGTTGCTCCACCCCACCCCTTCCTCCTCTTATTCAGCAGTACTGTGCCTCGGGCATTGTGTTGTGTGTGTGGAGGGAGAAAGTTGGAGACAGATTACTTAGTATTGGTGGGTATATGAATGAAAGCTGGACTGAAGTAACATAGTCAGAATTGTCAGGCCAGCCCGAGCTGCTTTGGAGTGGACTACAGAAGGTGATGGAGGGAGCATCTGTGGACAAGTGGCCTTCTTCTGGGGCAAGGTCAGGGGCAGAGTGTCTAAAGAGCAAGCAGGGGACTGAAGGTGTTGCAGGGAGGGCTGAGAAGTGGGAGAGACCCTGAAGGGCACAGTGTAGATTTGGGCGTCCTCTGAAGTGGGAAGGGGTGTTGGAGAGGTGTCCAGGGGCCTTGGGGTAGTCTGATGCTAGGCTGCAAGGGCTGCTGCAGCTAAGATCTGCTGTGTTGACCTTAGTCCAGGGCAGGACAGGCAGTGTGGATGCTTTCATACTTTGAAGGTAGAGCCAAAGATGCTATCCCTGACACATTAGAAGGTGTGGAGAGGGAGAGGACCCTGGGGAGACACCCACAATTCATCCCTAGTGATAGAGAACAGAGAGTCTGTAAGAAAGATGAGGCATGTGAGAGTTAAGCCATTAGGTGGAGGTTCAGGAGCGTGGGAGGGAGCCCCCAGATTCCCTGTCTCTCCTGTCATTTCACACTTCCCTGCAGGGGTACAGGCACCAGCAGAAGAGCCTTCTGCACCAGCTGAAGCAGGGGATCTTTACTCTCTCTGTGAACTTTAGCCCATACTCTGTAAGCCTGAAAGAGCAAAGCTGACTCTGGCCTCCTTGCTTCCCAGTTCTGCCAGTTTCTGCTGTATGTGTACATGCAGGCATGTTGGTTCACAGAATCTGAGCACCATTTTGTGCTGGGTGTTGGGGCTGAGGATACAGAGGTGAATGGGTTCCAGCACAGAGTCATGCACACACAGGCCCCAAGGCACAGCCAGCAGATGGGTTTGCTCCCAGAGAGGAAGTCACAAAGCTCTTCCCTGACATTGAACACACTCCCTGGAATAGAGAGAGAACTCCAAGGTGCATGCCCAGGCTTCCACTTCCTTGCTAATGAAACCACGATTTTGGAGCTGATCAGAAGGAGGATTTGCAGGTGCCTAAGGGTACTTTAGCTAGCAACTCTAGTTGTACCCTTATTGCCTAAGCAAGGGTAGAACCTCTAAGTCAGAAATTCCTAGATGCAGAATGGAAAAAGGCAAGTGTGTTGTGTGGGATATGAAGTAAGTAAGAAGTGGACCACAGGGTGGACAGACCCAGCTGGCACTCAGACTTGGAAGGAGTTCTTCCACCAGTAAATACAAAGGCCATGAAGATGACCACCACAGACTTTCATATACCAGGCATTGATCTGACAGGTAACAATTGGTAACATGTAGCTACCAGCCATGATTCTAGCAAGAAATATCAGAATTCTTCCCTCACATGAGAGCACAGAGGGATTAAGTGACTTACCCATCAGCCAGTGAGCAATGGAGCCAAAATTTGAGTTCCTTCTAATTAGGGAGAATGGAAAACTATTGCCCTTATCACAGCTCTGCTCACACACAGCACCTTGAACTTCAGAAAGCACGCTATATGACTTCTTTGGAACTGGCCATCTGCCTGCCTCCTCCCTAGGACGCGCAGTCTTAAACGGTTATCAAGATGTCTTGTCGTTTTCATGCAGAGAGCATTTAGTGCCACTGCCTTTGCAGCCCAAGAGGACGGAGGCTGTAGTAGAAGGGTTCTAAGAGAAGGCGGGGCTATGCAAGGCAGCTGAAGGGCTGCCAAAAGGAGGAAAGAGCACACACACAGAGGCGACTCAGAGGATGTACTGTCACAGGTCAGGGGAGGTCGTTATAAATGATGAGGGGAAGGCTTGAGAGACCAGGAAAAGCTGGGAGCAGCTAGGTGGTCACCCTGTAGTAGTAAGATGGGATGGGCAAGCAGGCCTGGTGGTCAAGGCCAGGTCAGAGCCACTGTGATGCATGTTTGGAGAAGAGAGATTCAAGCAAGGTAGCTAGGTAGCTAGGCAACATGGCTAGGTTTGGTTCCACAGACTGAGGCCCCAATAGGGTAGGGTCAAGGCTGGGGACAGCAAGTCTCTCCTCCCTTGCTGGTTTCCTGTCTCCAATGATTATCTGGGCCTGGTGTATCCTCCAACCTGTGCAAGTCTGGACTATAGCTTAATGTCCAGGTCATTTATGGCTAGAGCCAAGTTATGAACTGGCCTTGCCTGGTTCAGGCTGGTGGACCAGAACGTTCCAGACTTGATCTCAGCTTACCCATGCTGGTCAGGACTGCATTATCACCTCCAGGGCTGTGCTCTGTAAGGTACCCCTCCTTGGAGAATGGATACGAATGGGACTGTACTGTGTGTCTGCGGCCCAGCGTAGGAGAGATGAAGGCTGTATGAGAGGCTTCCCTGGTGGAGCTTTGAGAAGAGGGGCTGTATACGTTTAGGTCTGAGTCCACATGCCAAGAGCAGTGTCTGGCACCCCGGGGCAGCTGGACTGAAGCTTCAGGGGAAAGGAAGAGCAGACTCGGGTAGGGAGTTCCGACTCTGGACCAGTGTGTCTTCTCACTGCAGTTTTCAGAGCTGACACCCGATGGCAATGTGCTCCTTAGTTCTTCACATCTCTAACCAGGCAGCCTAGCAGGGAGGGCTTCTCTGAGGGGCTGGGCGTGCAGAGGAGGGTGGCAGTCAGGATGCAGTGGGCACATGAAAGCAAGGCCTGATGCTGGAAAAGGAAAGAACCCAGTGTGAATTGACCGGCAGGGTTGCTGGGGAGTGCCTCTAGGAAGGTTGAACTGGAGGCCATGTGTGCACCCAGTTGCTTGGCAAATGAAGTTTATTATCTACAGTACCATTGTGAGAGTCCTGGTTTCCCTTCCACTTTTTAGGAAACCAAGGCAGGGTTTCCTAACTTCACAGGGGCGGGCGGGTTGAAGACACTGGAGACAAACGGAGAATGTGAAGGTCTTAGCACAGGCTTGAGTGTTATACAGAAACAGGGAGCAGGGAGCCAGCTCACAGATAACCTCAGGAGGGGAGTAGGAGCAGGGACCCTAGACACAAGGGTATCCCAGAAGAGAGCAACATGGTGATGACTACAGAGCAAAGAAGTTCTTTACCCGAGGGTCCAGTCAGGGAGGCGGGACAGCCTGGAAAGCCGCTGGTGACAGGGAGAGGAAGAATGGAGGACTGGTCCAGAGCCAAGGGAAGAGCAACAGGGGGCAAGGCCAGCACCCTGCGTTCTGCAGCCCCACCCTGCAGCTCTCTGCAGGCCTCCCCGAGGCCCTCACAGCACAGAAGCGACCTTGGCTTGGCCAGCTGGTGAACGAGTCAGTATGAGGTGACCACAAAAGGAATGGGCAGCGCTCGGGCTGCTCCAGGACGCCAGGGGTTTTGATATAATTTACTCTAAAGGAAAGGCGTTGCTTTGCCAGAGTGAGGAAGTGTGAGCCTAGCAGTGGACCAGAACAGCTTTTCCAAGGGCGGGGATCCACGGGTGGGGATCCAAGGGTGCTGCCCAGGTGGACTACACCGTGGTGGCGGCAGAGTGCCTCAGGAGACTCAGCTGTCCCTCATGCACAGCCCTTCAGGGCACACTGGCTTCCCTGCAGGTCCTCAGGTGAGGAGAGCTCTACCTGTGGGGGAGAAGGAACCAAAGGTGTTATCAGAGCTTGCTCCCCGACACCTGCTTGCTGGCTATGGTGGTGTGAGGGGCTGATTTTTTTCTGGCCCCCTCACCAAACTGCCTGTACCCCTTCCTCTTCCCAACGCATGATGGATGCCCTTAGGGGCCCCGTGTGAGGTTCTGCTCCTGTTCACGGTGTGCCAGGTGTCTGCATAAATAGCTGTGTGTGTATATGTGTGTGTTGATGTGCTCACCTTGTCTGTCTGCTGGCTTCCTCCATCTTTTGAGTTCCCTTTGGTTCCCCTATGATTTGACTGCTGTTTTCTCATCCAAGCTTTTAGACTGATGCTGTGGTCTGGTGCTGTATAAATATTTTTCCTTTTCATTTTGTTTAAATTTCTTCCTTCCCCTTCTTTACCCTCAACCCTCTCCCTGTCTCTCCTCCCTCTCTAATCCCACTTGCCCTACCCCTTCCCTCTCCCCACACTCTCTTGTTCCCCTTTCTCTCTCTCTCTCTACATATATAAAAATATATATATATATATAAATCTTTTCTTCTTTTGTCATTCAACCAAATTCCAACAACCCAACCAGGGCCAGTCAAATCCACCACAGTCTCGCGCTGAGCTAGGAATAAAGTTCACGTAATCACATGAGAGTGGAGAAAAGTCCCCCATCCGTAAGTTCAAATCAACTCAAAGTTCACAGTGTGACATGACGGCGTCATGTAACAAGGCTAAGAATCGGTTGCATGACACTTGCCGTCAAGTTTCGTGGAGGTGCTGTGATTGGAGCGTCTTTTCTTGGATGTCGTACCCGTGGATGATTGGCCAGTCATGATCACACGTGCATTTTCTTAACCCTTGTGCTGCCACGGTCTCTTTTGCTGTGCTCATTTTCGTTTGTTCTTGGTGCTTGCAGTGGTTTTACTTTCTGTTGTTTGGTTTTTCTTGTTCAGCGTTTTTATTTCTTTTTAATGCTTCTCTAGATGTCACATAGAGAAAGAAAAAAAAACAAAACAAAAGAACAAAAAAAATTAGTAAAACTAAAAGACAAAATTCCTCAATTATCAAACATGGGATCATTTAACTGTATAAACCATTTTTTTCTTAAAAATAAGGAAAACATTTTAAACTATTTCTGCGTGGTTGATTTACTTGCACTTGAAAATATTGTGATTTTATTTTCTTCTAGAAATTTGGGGGCCTTTTTCAATTGACACTTTCCTAGGTTTGGCCTTTTTCGAGCTAGTGTGTTTTAAATCTCACGTTATGAAAACCAAAACCAAAATATCTGTAGAAACAAAATGATGAAGAAAAAAATTCTAAGCCAAAAAACTAGCGTCCAAAGCCAGCGGTCTCTGAGAGAGAGCCTGGTAAAAATTTTAAGGTTTGTACTGTAGCCACTTGTGCTAAATTGACTATGGGGTGGGAAGGGTGGCTGGGGTCACGGGAGGGGATTTTTGGTTGGTTCGGAAGAAAACAGTAGCAACAAAAGCAAAATGCATCTTTTTATTTACAACTGAAAAAGGGTCCTTGACAAGTGTTTTTTAATTTGATTATTATTTTCTTTGGTGTTGTAATTGTTTAGACTGCTGTGTACGGTTTGCTGTTTGTTGAACCAACAGTGTGAAAACCTGCCAGCATGGATTGATACACGCATGACGTTGTCCCTCCAGTGGGGGCTTTGCAGTTATAGTTTTCTTGATGTAACCAGTCACCCCCATGTATAAGTGGAAGCTGCTTGCTAGAATGGAGATGAGTCTCATTTGTTAATTCACAATGGTTAAGCATTCACCTTCTGATTCTAGTCAGATCATGATTTTTTTTTCCTTAAAAGCAAAGCAAAACAAAAACCACCATTGGAAACAAAAATTCAAGAACTGTTTCAGTTAATTTATTTAAGTTTGATAATTAAATCTATTTTGACCTTTTTTAGGTTCTCCCATCCAGTCCCTGGAAGTTCTGAATTTCCTCTAAATTCCCTGGCATGTATGAGAAAAATATTGTGTATGTGCATATGTGTGTGCATAGATGCATTCACATACACACATATCCATGTATATACACATATGTGCAGGTGAATATATTCTACACATATATCCAGATATACATATATATACACACAGCCTCGCAAATAGTTACTGACCTTGGGGAAGAAGTGGTTGGTTAGAAACTGGGCAAGGATTTGGCAAAATCTGCAAAGCGGCTAGCTCTGTCTTTCTAGTTTTCCTCAAGCTGGGGAGGATTGGTCTGGCCTGCCACACTTTTGCTGTCTTGTTTGCTAGGCTTGTGTATACATATGGTATCTGGGCTAGGTCCCTTCGGAAAAGTTGAATTACAAATTTATATCCCACAGTCCCAAATTCTTCTCCTAAATCTTAGCAGTCCCTTAATCCAGAACCCTTCTTAAGGAAGCCAAATCAAGAATTCTCTTCCAACATGTAAGCCCCAGCTATAACCGTCACCACTAGACTGCCCAATGGTTTCTCAGTCTAAATAGAAGAACAAATTTCTTCTGGCCGTATCATGATCATGACTAATCCTCATACTGGTCTCTCTTGCTTCCCACCCACCATCCCCCCAGAAACCCTATCTTCCCCAGAGGCAGGATCCTATTGGTGTTTGGATGCATTCTGTGTTTTCACGCTTGGCTTAATCAGCCCTGATTTTCTTCATTTTAGGGCAGGATGCTGAACGGGCTACATTAAAAACAAACCTCTTTCTCTCTCTATTTATAAATGAGAACTGTTGGATGACACCTTTGACATATCAGCCAATACCAATCAAGCTGAAGACTCCAGACACTCTGTGTGACTGTAACATTTCTTCAAGGAAAGTATAGCGTCTATGGAGTGCAGAGGGCACGTGTTTGGGGAAAAATACACATGACATAAAGATGACGACGACAAAGAAAAATGAGATAAAACAAACAAAATCCCGCAACTTTGAAACAAAATAACGCGAGCCCAGATGAGGAAGCTGAAGGGCTGGGCACTGGAAGAGCCACTGCTGCTGCCAATCGATCCTGGGGCTTTTCCAGCCCGTGGGCACCTGAGGCAGGCAGAGCAAGCGTGTCGCGGGGCCTGGTCCCCAGCAGGCGGCTGGGAGGCCGCCACTGAGCATCTCTATCTGTCATTCCTTTAGCTATTTAGGGACCAAAGGACCAAACTTTTTATTGCAGATGTGTAGCTCTGTCTATTAGAGGTGGAATGGAGGCCAAACTCCTTCCTGCCTCCTGGCTGTTCTTGAAACAGCTTTAGAGCGATTCTATGAAAAATGTAATAAAAAAAAATAAAAAATAATAAAAAAATTTAAAAATGAACAAAAAAAACAGGAAAAAATAATGCTTCAACGCTTTTAAAACAGCAAGATACTAGTTCTTTGATACTTTGAGAGGCGCTTTGATTACCCCCATTGAAGTCTCTGAAACTTTCCTATGGTTTTCTGTATTATACGTCTGGATGGAGCTGTTAAGATAAACCTATTGGTGGATATTTGGGGAAAGCAACAAAGATATTAAATCATTATCCAAGAAGAGTGAGAACACGTGGGGAATCAAGGGACTTCGAAGGCAAGGTAATTGTTGTGAAAAGTCTGTAAATGCTTCTAACTTTTCCCCCCTCTTAAAACCATAATAGTTGTACAGAATTTTAAAAGGAAAAGTTTAAAATACCTATATCATAGAAGAAAAAAATTAGAGGAAAGCAAAAAAATAAAAAATAAAAAAAGGAAAAAAAAACCTTATAGAAGTTAGCGTTATGCTAAAATCCCAGATGTTGTAGGACTGTACTTCTGTAGAGTTTAGACTGAGCATCGATCCCGTCTCCCCGCGAGTGCTGTCGGACTCGGTCCCCAGGGCCCAGACCGGACTGTCCAGACCTGCGGGCTCCAGCCGGAAGCGCCCCTCCGCTAGGAAGCGCCTCTCCGGAAGCGTCCTGCCGCCTCTCGCTTCGCCCGCCCGCCCGGGAGCCGCGCGCGTGCGCGCTCTCCGCCCTCCTCACCTCTGCTTCACTCGCCTTCTGTGCTTGTTCCGGAGACTTTCCAGGTCAGGGAGAACTGGGAACTTTTCATCTTCAAACAACTAGACAACACACACACACACAAAACCTTAAACAAGAGAGAGAAAAACAAACAATCTTTGAAGAATTTCTGAAACTGTTTACAAGGAATTTTGAAAAACAGGGATGTTTAAATGATGCCGGCTCTGTTTTTCTGTAAATAAATTTGCATATTTTGTAGGACTTTTAATTGTAATGATAGAGAAAAAACAAGGAAAACTATTTAATGAAAGCACGATATTTATCTTTGGTAAATGACTTTAGAGCAGTTAAAGACATTGCTTAAAAAACTCAGAATCAGAAAAACACTGAATTATTTAAGAACACATATATTTTAAAGTATAACATATTTATTATAATTTATTTGCACCCTTGGGAAGACTTGCTTTGCATTCTGCCTCAAGAGCTTCTCATTGATGTCCATCTGGAGGCCAGAGGGCTCTCGGAACTACCATTTTTTTTTTCTTTAGAACGACAAAATTCTGGTTGCTCTCAGGCCTCCCTTTTCTTTCTGTCTGTTCTGTTGTTGTTTTACTTCATTTAGTTTTCTTTTTCTTTCTCTTGACTCCTCCTTTTAGGATGTCCAGATGTTGTAAAAAAAAAAATCAGCTGCAGTTCAGTACAACTGCTCTTTTCACACCGACTCCCGAAACTCCTTGTAACCTTCTGTAACTATTGGATGACGCTTTCTCCAGCTTAGCCCTAAATAAAGCACAGTTTAAAAAAAAAAAAAAACTCCAGAGTCTGATTGCTGGGTACCTCTCAGGTTCCTTCCAGTTGTGCTTCAAAGCGTCAAGGTCTGTCCAGGACCTTCTTTTCTTGGGATCTGCCATACGGGTCCTCACTGTGACCCCAGCAATCCAGCTGCTGTGTGTGGGAACAATAAAAGACAAACCTGTTCACCCTAAGAAAGCTTCAACTGCTACATTTGAGCCAGTCTCCATTTTGGTTTGGGCTTCCTGGGGGAGAATTGGTCACGGTGCCTAGGCATAAATATCATGGTCCGCTTTCCTCACTGACAAGTGGGAAACAAGGCTGTAGGACCTGAAGACGAACCTCGAGTAGGGCAAGGTCTTCGGGGAGGAGTCAGTGGAGGGAGGGACACAATCCCAACTTTGCCACCAGGGAGCTTTTTGCTTATGACCCTACACCTGCAAGGAGAGTTTGCCTGGGTGGAGAAAACGGGAGAGTGGATGCCCTTGGAGTCAAGGTGCTGGGGAGAGTATAAGGAGAGGAGCCGGAGTCCCACTCTGGGAAGCCTCTTTGGAGTGCTGTCTGCTCACGCTTAGACATGGCATAGACGCCCACGCTCCGAATGTCTTAGATGTCTTGGGAGCAGGTGAGTAATGTTCTAAAGGGAAGAGGACAAGAAATAGGGTTTCCTGGAGACCAGGAGTGGGACTCCTGAGTGACAGCTGGGACAGAGGAAATCCAGCCACATGTTTTTCTCAGGTCCTCTATGAAAGATTCAAATTTCTCAATATTCTTTCTCCTCCCTGCCCTACTTCTCAGAATTCAACCCTGAAATATCTGGTCTTGGGATGAACAGAATCCAAGAGTTTGTCACAATTCATAGTTGGGGTAGGAGGGTTGTAAAGTTTAAGGTGTCTACAGGAGGGAAATTGAGCCTTAGGGAGCAGGAGGCCATCCGTCATTTTTGGAGTGAGGGCATTGCTTTACTCCAGCTCGGCTGCTCCAAAGGGGTGGTGAGGGCAGTGATGACAAAAGCTGCAGAGCAGTCCCTAGCACCCATGGGCCACGCCCTTTCCCACTTCTACGGTGCCAAGCACTCATCCCATGTGTCGCGTTCAGGTCCCGGAAGTGTCAGCTAGAGCAAAGAGCTCTCTATGAATCAGGAAACATGGACAGGGCTCCAAAGCTGTGACTCCACCGTGGAATGGTTCCATGAGAGAGTAGACAACCGCCTCTAAGTTAATCCCCACACCCCGGTCTTCCCAACAGGATCTGAACTCAAGGGGAAGCCAGCTCTGCCCATCCCAGGGAACCAGACTTCTTGGAAGAATTAACTTCCAGTAGCTGCATGTCTGAGGTTGTAATACCTCTGTGAGGTGTCTTCTAGGTCATTTTCTGGGCAATGAGAGAGAATTTATTGTTTTTGAGGCTTGAACTATGTTTAACTATGGTTTCTGTAGGATATTAAGAGCTGAAATACATCATACCAGCTAGAGAAAGCCAGCTTTCAGTTACCAGTCATTCTCAGACCTAAGGGTACTCACCACACCATCTGCTCCTTTGTATTCCCCTCCCACTGTCACTCTTGTGTCTGAGACAATAGCCTGCCACAGAGGTACCCTGGTTTAGGGCTGCGGGGACCCTTGGAGCTGCCACCAGAGAAGGGCTGGCTGAGATGCCTGTCAGTCACTTCTGCTTCAACACATGGCTGATGGAGAGATGCCGTCACCAGAGCATCATGAATGTACCAGTTGTATAAAATAAACCCTGGATGGCAAGACTGCACACCAAGCAACTATTGTGTGTTTAACTACAACAACATTTGTGTGCATATTGAGCACAAAATGAAATCTGTTAACCTCTGAGGCAAGGTACAGAGTCTTTGAAAGCTTGCTCAATGTTATGCTCCACAAGCTTACAGGGAGCTATGGGCCCCATGGCTCACCCATCCTTCCTTACAAGGCACTTTTGGTATACAGAATCAAAATAGCTCCAGTCAAGTCTATACAAATTTCTTTTTTTTTTGTCCTCTCCCCCTCCACTACTGATATCCCCCATGCAGTGCAGGATATCACTTTATAAAGCCCCTATTTGCGAGAGACGCTCTATTCATGACTATAAACCTATTTAGAGCGTAACCCCAAAGAAAGGTAGCTGCATCATGCACCTTGCGTGCCCACCCCCTAGTTGCCTCGCCTATCAGTTTATGAGTCAGTCTGACATAGGTGTCAGGTACAAGGAACTTCATTGCTGCATCCTTCACTTCTCCCTTCGCCAAGTTTTACACCGCGCTGGGGTCTAACAGCTGGTGGGAAGCCGACCCTCATGGTCTCTGGCCATCCTGCAGGGTGGGTCTGCCTTCAGGTGCAACCCTGGGTCTATCTCCAGCACCTTGTGTCTTCAGCTCTTCCTCTAGCCTTTAAAATCCCAACCTTTTCTGCATTCCCTTCTCAATGCTGCCATTATGAAAACAGCACTGAGACCTTTCATTGACTTCTTTCCTGTCTTCCTCTGACTGTTCTAAAGGACTGGCTTTTATCCCCTTCTTCCTCAGCCCTCCCACATTCAGAGCACAGGTCTAATGGGTCACAGACATGTCAGAGCCTCCCTCTGGCCAGTGTTGTGCTGTTGCCATCTCCTAGCGAGTGCTGTTAGTGTCTGGGAACTCCTCTACGGATTCCTCTGGTATAGCGGTGGGTGGTAGGGCTGGTGTGTGAATCGTACTGGATCTACACTCTACCTGACTGCATGCCTGGCAAGGTGGATAAAGGGATATGTGGGCACTGACGTCAGGGACCCGGCTCAGCTTAGCCCAAGGCAACAGCATCAGACTTGACTGTGAATGCCACTTGGCCATTTCCCAAAATAGAATCTCTCCTCAAAGACAAATTATTAGCTGCCATTGATGTATCACCTTCAATAGACTATTAACTTCTGGCAGTTAGATTTGTCATCACTGTTGAGTCACTCTGCCTGCAAGGACAAATTATAGATCGCTGGGGCTTGTTCCAAAGAGGTAGATGTTCTGAAATTGTCTCTTAAGTGGTGCTGGTGGCACGTGTAGAGTAAGTTGCATAGCCAATAACCCCTCTCATTGGATTTCTGGGCTTCCGTTCTTTGCTATAAACTCCTATTCGTCACCATAAGCCACCTATTCTTCTCCCTTCAAATTCTTGTCACTCTGGCTCCTGCCTCTGGTCCCCAACACTCCCAGCTGCCCCAGGCCTGGCTCGCGAGCTCCTGCTTCCCAGACCCCTCCTTTAACCCCACATCCTTTCTCCTGGTAGTCTTTCTATGGATCTCTTCAAGTAATTCTGCTCGTCTCCACTTCGGCTGGTGGTGATGGTGGTCTAACCAGGAGTTGCACCATTAAGAGAAGGTGGAAAGACCAGTGTCTGAGAGCAGAGAGTGTGAAGGATTGGGCTGTGACTCACCAGGATTCCATACCCAGTTCCCTCCAGTGCCTTCTGTGCGACTTTGAAGAGTTAATGTTTGTGAGCCTTGCTTTCTTCAAATGGGGATAATACCACTCCCAAAGTGCTGAGAAGTAAACACACACACACACACACACACACACACACACACACACCCTCTAAAGGACGAATCTTTGAATGCATGCTCAGAATGAATGTAGTTTGGGCTTCAGTCATCTCCTCTTTCCCTAATTATATTCCACTGGCCGCTGGCATCCCACCCAGAGCTTAAAACGGACACCATGCTAATTAGATCAGTTTTCGTAAAGCTCAATCCTTATCATGCTGGGTGCATATACCTCTGGCTCCCGTTGCTCTTATCCAGGGTCCCCAGTTAGCTGCCACCTGATGCATCTGCACCCTCTGCTTGTCCCTTACTCCATGAGCATCCCGAAGCTGCTGTGATGGCTTCTGCGTGCTGCCACCTTCCTCCTGACCCAGATGGTCTCAAGCTGCAAGCTAATTTGATTGGAAAAAGAGCACAATAAAGTCTTTAAGCCTGACACCTTCCCTTCACTGAGGAAACCAGCATCACCAGTTTCTCCTGTTCCTATGGGTGTTTAGTTAGATGCCTGGTGTGTTGGCAGTGGTATCACAGCTCACTCTCCTCTCCCCACAGTCTCACCAAGTGGTTCAGGCTGGCCTTGAACTTGTCTCAGTCTTGTGGGATTACAAGCATATGCTGTCACACCATGTCTTGTTTCTAGAAGGGATGGACCGAACTAGGCAGTGATTGGCCTTGGCAGTGGAACACACAGAGATTTGATTAGCAGTCAGTCACTCTTGCTGTGGAGACTCCACTCTCTGAGGCATGAGCGTAACCCATTTATGGGGTGCTAGCTCTGTCCTAGGTGTTGTGATGAGAGCTATTTAATCAGATTCTCATTTGTTCTCCACAATAATACTATGACAATAGTGTCATTATGCCCGAGGGAAAA